CCAATATGATTAGGCCAGGACGCCATTTACAGAGCAGCGTCTAATATAGAAGGAGCGGTGATTAGCCGTCTCCACCGCAAAGCACGTCTGACCTGTGGGGAATACAGCAACTAATATTTGCCATTCATTCTCTGCTCTGGTATAGAAACAAGTTAAGGTTTTAGTTTTAAGTTTATTATTATTACCCAATAAAAAGAGTGTTCTCAAAGTTGTTTTTGAGATGCCTGTGTAAAAAGAAGTGGTCTTGCAGTGTTATAGCTGAGCCAGGAGAGAACCTTTGTGGTCTCCTCCTCTTCCTCCAAACTGCCGCCCTTGGATTTATTGTTTGTGGGGTTATTTATCACAGTGACGGAGTGTGCTGCAGGGCCCATATAAGAGTGACATGCTGTCAGAGCTGAATTCAAACTTAGAGCCTCATGTAATGTAGATTAGAAGGCTGGTGTCAAAAGGAGAATAGGGAAGAGCATGGTATTATTTCTGAGGACAGGTCATTCAGGTGTAGTAGTAGTAGTAGAAGTGGTTGTGTTAATAATAACATTAGTGGCAGCAGCTTTGCCATGCAGCATCTCCATCTGGTCCTCTGCCTTTGTTCAGCCAAGTTTGAACCTCAACTATTGTTTCAGCCAATCCAATTCAATCCACTTTATTTATATAAAACACAATCAATCAATCAATCAATCAAAGTTTATTTTATTTGTAGAGCGCCTTTCATACACAGGGCAACACAAAGCGACATCACCCAAGGCACAAATCATCACATAAAACAAGCACCAGAATCACAATTGAAACATTAAAAACACACAAGGAATTAAAAATAAAAATAAATAAATTACCGCAGTGCATTAAATATGGAGATACAACCCTTCAGTGTACAGGCAAACAGAACAGTCTTTAACCTGGATTTGAACATTGTCAGAGTAGACGCCTCTCACATTTTCAGGGAGACTGTTCCAGACTCTAGCTGCTTAAATCTGAAATGCAGCCTCCCCATTGCCAAGGGGCGACAGTGGCTCAGTTGGTAGAGCTTTGGCCTTTGAGCCTGAAGGGCGTGGATCCAAGCCCACTACGAGACCTACCCATAGACTGTATATATCAACCTACCGCACGACTCCGCCTGATGTCTGCTGTTGTTGTGTCCTTGTGCAAGACACTTAACCCCACTTTGCCTGAATCTCCCGCTGAAAAATCAAGGCAGCTCAGATCAGAGCAATCATCCTTCTGCGGACTCAGGAAGAAAATGGATGGATGGATTTGATAAAACACGTTTCCAAAGTACTGCACAGATAAAAGTAGCACATTAAAATATGCAAGTCTGCCAGCTTTAAATAAATGAAAAAAAATACATAAAACAATAAAATACAAAAAAAAATTGTCTCTTATGTCAGACTACTATTAACAATTATTGCTGTTTGTTATCAGCAAATAAATGCACTTTAAAGGAAAGCATTTTATTCTTTATGTAATTGCAGATTGTTATATTGTTCAGTCAAATGTGTCCTTTTCCATATTATCCTTATATCCAGGTCCCGTCCAGCTGACAGAGCACTACCTCTGTGCTGAGTGTGACTGATGTGGATCATTACACAGATGTGATCAGGACACATCCCATTCAGAGATCTGCGTCACCGGAAAACAAGCTTTTTGGTGCTTTTTAGCTTTTTTAAATTGACAATGGAATATACAGAACAAATGCCAAAACTTGACTTGACGAGTTTCATGGGGGGGACAGCAAGACAATCCTTTTCAACACTTGTTTTAAATCAAACATCAAGCCACATATAATGATTAATTTAGATTATTATAATATTATTACACTACATACTTTTAATGAGTCTGTCACAATAACAAGTCAAATGGGCTTCTCATTAATACCATCCACCCATGATGGGAATCAGTCCAGTCCCATTATAGTGTCAGCTCAGTCCTTGAGTCAGAGTTTTGGTCAAACTGTTTTTTCTGCTTTGGAGGGAGTCTCGGGGGAAACGCACAGACTCTCCACACCATGAGTATTTTTCCAGATGATCGGACTGAGTTGAGTTTGCTGCTGGATGCTGTGATGCAGGGGCTGGTCCCAGTCCCAGTGGTCCCTCCTCCCGCCATCACAGTCTCTCTGCGCTCTGACAGATTGGGAGCCAAATTGTTGGTGTCACATTTCATATGAGACAGAAGCAGCAGAGGGCTGGAGGGTCACCTGCCAATGCCAAACTAATCTCTAAGAAAACCAGTCCATTCACAACACAACAATAATCTTGTTAGGACTACCCTTAGTACTATTAAGCCCGATCCATACGTTAAGAAAAGAATAGTAATATACAATATACAATGTAAAAAAGCAGAATACCTTTCCCCCCAATTCGCCAAAGTCAACCAAACCGGCGCATCACTGCTGACCTCTAGTGGTAGGTAATTTAGGTGCAGATGGATCCAATGTACAGTACTTACCTCAAGATTTCTTCGACAAATGTAGTATTACAATGGCTCGAATCTTTTACAGACGCATGTAGAACAGGCGTAGTGTATATCTTAAGGAAATCTCGATGCTTGCCAAAGTGGGGTGCAGGCTCCCTAGGGCCTCCGAGGTCCTGTAATTATGCTGTACAATTACCATGGATCTCTAGGTAAATACTGGTTCTATTTAATTAAGATTCTTAAGATTTCATTTATTTTATTTCATTGCAAATTCACAGTTGGCCCTTAACCCACATATGTTGGTAAACCATGACATATTATCTAGTTTGAAGTGTGATTCCACGAAGCAGGGCTTTACTCTGGGAAGTACTGCTGATCTTTAGTTTGCAGGACTAACCCTTAATGCATTCTAGTCAAATGTACTTGTTCTCCTTATAGGCTACATCTTTGGTGTGGCATTTGTTTATTGAAGTTCTCAAATTCAAACAAAAAGAGCACATTCAAGATGAATAAAATATTTATTTCACATTTTTAAATTGAAAAATCACAAGCTTCATTAAAGAAATAATTACATCAAAGTAGATTTGTACAAGAAGAGTTACAGGACAATAGACATAGGGACACAGACAGATGGAGCTTCAGTCTGTGACGGCCCATTGTGGACGGGTACAGTGTATTGTAAACATATACACATTTTAATTGACTTACAATCGGAACTACTATAAACACCTTCTCTCACATAAACCACAGGACAAAACACACAAGTTTTACCCATGATACAACATTTGATCAACAGGATCGCTCAATTCACAGTGGAAAAAAGGTTCATCCGAATGGAGTTCAGAAACTGACAGTTTCTATCATGTTCTTTTGCCTTATCCACACTACACTGAGGCTCCTTACAGATAACACGAGCCATAACAGAGATTTCACCCAAAAGGTTTTCTTACTGGTGTGGTGTTCATGATGTGACTAGAGCCTCTGTGACCGGTGAAAGGTGAGGCCAGAGCAGATTTTAGAAACACAGGCACTTAAGAGAAATGACAAAACAGGGGCGTCCATTAAGGCACAACAAAAAGCACGGCCAACACATCTTTCTTTGGAACGTTGAGGCTACAAGACACGACTATCAAAAGTTTGTCCAAATCCTACTCGTTGGGGACATCTTTCCAGGCAACCTTTCTCTACTTGGCCAAAAATCCATCCCTGTCCTAAATGTGAATACAAGCAGGCTACAGCAAACACAATTTCGGAATTGCTTTATACGACATACTTGGCTATGCTCCTATTTTAATTGTCTCATATAATGTATCTCTACAATACAAGTCTACTGTGCGACAAAGACGCAGCTTACTGTATGTGAATGGATTTCATTTTATGGTTTGTGTACGCAAACAATGTACAGAATTTTTTCTTTAAAAAGTTAATACCAAATTGAATTATTTAATTGATGTGTTCCGTCCAATCAACAGTGAATACATTCAAATGCCTTTAATATACAATTTTAAATTCCTACGGTTTCGCTGAGTGCACAGAACTCAATATTACTCTGTGACAAAAGCTTCAACAATGATCCACTCTTGACATCCAAATCCTTCACAGCAGAGCACGCAACTATTCCAGATAAAGTGAGCTTCCATCTAATTTCGTACAAATGGCACAATGTGTACATTTTGAATACTTCAGCTATAGTTCATGTGACTCGGCACCTGTAATCAGCAGAGGTAATTAGACAAACCTAAACAGACACTGACACACTCTCATAAATCCCCCACACAGTAAGTTCAGATCAGACATGCCAATGCTAATGGATGAGCCCACAGTAATGATTGCTATAGTGTTAAGTTTTATCAATTTTTCTTCCATAAAAAAAACAAAAAACGTTTCAAAGCAGTTGTTGTCAGCGTCAGTAAATGTATGCGTCAATCAGATTGTTACTTTACCACCAGTAATAAGTGCTTTGAAAGTAGAAGCGTCAACGCATTTTGCGTTGTAAAAGGGGCAGGGATGTTGCAAAGATGGTTGCAATATAATTCCCCACCAATGAGGGCATCTGATTGGTCAATGCTTTTATGGATCTGGATTTACAATTACAATATTAAAATATAAGCACTGGGATCAAAGAGAGCAACTATGGATTTTTAAGCTCAAAATGTTGAGTGTGACACTGTTACTGAGCTAGAGGAGTTTTCTTTTCAAAACTTTGTCCATGAGCACTTCCCTATTGGGCTTAATTGATAGGTTAACATTGTCCATCTATATACAGTCTTTGATCTGTGGTCAGAAGATTTCAGGAACATTGCAGTGAACTTACAGTTCTTTATTCATGAAATCTTTTTTCAATAAATTCATAAATCTCGTCCTGGATATTTCAGTGGAACCAAACAACATATTTCTCCTTTTTACATAATTATCTATGATTTGATTAAAGGCCGTATTCGATGCATGCCTGACATAATCATTTGAGGCTTTATTCAAATGACGCTGGTTTCCTCATGTCACTTTAATCAACAGCTATTTTTGCATATGCCGATATCAGAGTTACTTTACCACCAGTAATAAGTGCTTTGAAAGTAGAAGCGTCTACAGGGTTATTTTAGCGGTATCAGGCCTTTCTTGTAGGCGATGACTCCTGCCGCCGTGGCACACGATAGGAAGCTGGAGACACCGATGAATTTGATGAAGCCTCCGACTGAAGGCATGTTCCTCTCCCAGAAGGTGGTGATGAAGGGTCGCGCGGGCACGTCCTGTCCCATGAGAAACTGTTAGTTTTCGGAGTGCAACCAAGCAGAATAGAGATGTTTTCTGAAGGATGGCCTTACCAAACTCTCAGGCTCTGATTGCCAGATCTGACTCTGGTGAATTTTACCCATTGTATGCATTATCTAGGAGAAAATATATGGGTCATTGACTGAGTATGAATGAAAATGATGTAACTATGCAGGAAATATCTCTAATTAGTAAATTTATGAGTTGTCTGACCTCTCTGGCTGCCCTTTCCCCAGCCTCCACTGCTCCTTCCATATAACCACTCCATGCTGTTGCCGTCTCTGTGCCTGCAAAGTACAGTTTCCCAACGGGCTCCCTCAGCACCCTGGACGAGCAGAACACAAAGACATGCAAGTAACAAAAGTAGTAAGTATCGTTTTACATTGGAACAAAAGAATTATTTCCACAAATTTGTCCCTTCCCATTCATCACTTCCATCCAATATTTTTCATTGAATTCAGAGGTTTAGAATGATTTCTCTTCCTGCACATGTAAATTCACCCACATTTACAAGTTACTGAGGAAAAAGGTTTAGTATTAATGTTATTACACTACGTCATTGCAAGATTTTGAGATTACACAAATTCCACTGTTTATAAATTTAAGTGAGCTTTAATGAGAAAAGACAAAGGAATACCATACACTGGGATACATGTACATGTCAAAATCCAGCGAATAGTGACCGACTTACCTCCCAAACTGGGTGAGGATTCCTGGAGGGAAGTAAGCAGTGTAGCAGCCTCCAGAGTACTCCTCTTCACACCAGTTCTTCTCTTCATAGTGCACCGGCTGAAAGTACAGCTCCATCAACATGACTTATACCAGATTGGTGGTTTAAAAAGCCCTGGTTCAGACTTACATGGAGGGCCTCGTCGGTGCCAAGGACTTTGGAGTAGATCTCACAGATCTTCTTCAGCCTAAAGTCAACACACACAGTTTGGATTAAACAAAAGTGTAGCCAGAAGAGTCCGTTAGCTGCAGTGTTTGCAATACCTCTGCTCTTTGGTCAAAACTGACAGCTCTCTGCACCTGCTGGCCAGAATGAATCTGAGGAAGAGTTTAAAGCAAAAAGTAGTGAGTGATGCTGCAATAACATACACTATGAAATCACAAATGGACACTACACAACACACAAAAGTGGGCACAATGGGCCTCATTTAAAAAATCTCCATGCTGCAAAACAATGTGCGTGCTGCAGGCGTACGTGAAGTTCTATTTGTGATTTTTCAATTTTCAACGCTAACCTTGTCAACTTCGCATTTTGCGTTGTAAAAGGGGCAGGGATGTTGCAAAGATGGTTGCAATATAATTCCCCACCAATGAGGGCATCTGATTGGTCAATGCTTTTATGGATCTGGATTTACAATTACAATATTAAAATATAAGCACTGGGATCAAAGAGAGCAACTATGGATTTTTAAGCTCAAAATGTTGAGTGTGACACTGTTACTGAGCTAGAGGAGTTTTCTTTTCAAAACTTTGTCCATGAGCACTTCCCTATTGGGCTTAATTGATAGGTTAACATTGTCCATCTATATACAGTCTTTGATCTGTGGTCAGAGGATTTCAGGAACATTGCAGTGAACTTACAGTTCTTTATTCATGAAATCTTTTTCAATAAATTCATAAATCTCGTCCTGGATATTTCAGTGGAACCAAACAACATATTTCTCCTTTTTACATAATTATCTATGATTTGATTAAAGGCCGTATTCGATGCATGCCTGACATAATCATTTGAGGCTTTATTCAAATGACGCTGGTTTCCTCGTGTCACTTTAATCAACAGCTATTTTTGCATGTGCCGAAATCAGAGTTTTGTGCACTCATTCATAAATACCATGATTACTTTGCCGCGAGGTAGCCTCATTTCACTGCAATGTTGTTAAATCAGACTCAATGTTATTTTGTAAAAACATGCACGACCTGCTTTTAATGACATTAAAGTAGTTTTGGTAGTTGTTGACCGAATAATTATACCGAATAAATATCGATCCATCTATTTAAGTGTACACAGTACACTACAACCAGAGGTGGACCTAGTTCTACTTTGAGTTAAGAAAAATAGGACTAAAAGCATTTATTAGGGTCCACATTGACATACACTTAGTATTTTCATTATGTCGGCGGGAGAAATACAATTATTTCCCCAACTATCAACATTCTAATCTAATCTGCAATGAGCCTTAAACATAATAACTGTTTCATACAGAAAGCTGGTACTAACCCCATAATAGCAGGAACCGAGCCATCAGCCTTTGTGTCGTCGAGGGTCAGGCCAATGGGAGACTCCGCATCCTCGATCATCATACTGCCACAATATCCTGTTGACGCACACAAATGTTCATTTTTAACACAAATGCGTATTTGGAACACAGCTTTCATCTACTGCCAGATTTCCTGAGGAACAAAGGCTACTCACCCTTTTTCCTCCAGAAGTTTTCCTTGTAGTACACCATGCACTTGATGACAGAGCCCATGGGAACGCGGTGAATCAACTGGTTTCTTAATGGAGGCAGCTCAGGGCTGAAGTGGATTTTTAGGTTCAGACCTGGAGGGATGGCTAAAACCACATATTTAGCCTGGAATAAAAGCAAAAGAAAGATCCAATAGTAAGTAGTTCACGATGCGGCCAGCAGATGGCTCTGTAGCAGAACATAATGTTGTATACTGAAGAAGGCTCCCATATAGAAAATCTTGCCTTGTAGATTTGTTTGTCCAACGTCTCCACCACCACAGTGTCCCCGCTGTGGTCGATCTTGTAGACCGCAGACTCCAGCTTGACCCGATCCCCCAGCTCCTTGGCCATGCACTCACTGATCTGATTGGAGCCACCCAGGAACTTCCTCTCCTGCAGCAGAGTGGATACATGTTTTAGCAAAGATGTAGTTTAGCACACATAGTAATGATCGAAAAAGATCTTTTGATGCAATATGTTATTAAGAATAGTCCAGGTCCATCAAATTGAGATGAGAAGAGAAAAATCTCTTATCACCTATGTGAATTTATTTTTCTTATCCATTTATTCTACTCAACACACTTAACAGACTGGTTAATTTGTTTTAACGAAAGATCTCCACAAAGACAAATATGAAGAGAAAGAAAATAAGACATTGGAGCTTATTCAACCTCCATGATTTAAAACTTAGTGAAACTTTTCTGCAATTAGAGTAACACAACTCACACTCGCACTCGTAAGCCACGCACCAGCAAGACCAAACTGGGCCAGGCACACATGGGGCAGAACCAGGAGACAAACTTCAGCGCATGTGTGATGAGCCGCATTGATGATGAGTGAATGAGTGAAATTCATAAAACTGTGGATCTCGGCAATGCATCAATAACAATAGCCGTCACAACATTTTAATAGTTGACACAGTTAATTTGATTGACTAATCATTGCAGCTCTCTTATGTATAAACTACTATCCTTTGAATCTCCCCCAACTTCATCCCTGAACTCTCAGGGCGGTTCAGACATGTTCTATGAGCAGTATTTCCTTATCAAACAATAGAACGGCTGAAATCAAACTGAGATTAGATTTCACTCAGGTGGACTTTAGTAAATAGTGAGGTTGATGTTTGCGCAATCATCACTCATTGAGCAAAGAGAAAAGGGTCATACAACTGCAAGGCCCACTTTGATCGTCCTTAAAAAGTATGTTTGAGGTATGAACACTTTTTCAAGAATGTTCTTTACTTAAAAGTGCAGATGAAGGTTTGAATACTATAGGTCAGAGTTCAGTTCAGGCGGAGAAAAGTCTACCCAAGTGGTGAAACACAGACTTTCACATGTGACCTTTTACATGTGGTTAGTGTCAGCCCTCCTCTTGTGCACATCCGTACGGTGTGCATTCTTTTGTGACATTTGGATCTATTTGCTCATCAACATTACGCAATCGGTCCTGGCAGCACAATACTGTTTGTTTTGAGTGATTAAAGATACGTTTATTTTTCCCACAAATCAGAGCTGCCGCCAGAGTACGGGAGCGCTGTGAAAGCCTGCTCAACGTCTACTCATATTCTTGTCAAATCACTTATGCAACATGTTCAACACATTTATGGAGAAGTGACAAAAATGAAATGACAACACAAGTCCAGTTCTTTGTGGCTATGGCAACAGGGGAAAGAAATGATAGTTTTCCCAGGCGTCCCAGAAAACAGCTATTCTCAGCCTCATAATTATGCAACACCCATCAGGGGGCCACACAATCTTCACCATCAATGAGATACAAGAATACATGCATTTTATTTTCTTTTTGCAGTAAAACCACATTGGAAAAACTGTGCAAGACTATGGTTTACCAGACGGCACACACTAGAGCTCTTCACTCAATGTCTACTGTATTGCACACTCTTTAATATGCAGATTGGTGTAGTAATGTTTTATTTGGGGCAGAGTAGGGCCAAGCAGGATAAAGCCTTTTTTTTTCTATCTTTAAACATTCTGAACACTTTACACTGGAATTTCACTACATGCAGTTTCAGGCTTACACTCAGCAGAACGGCTTTTAACAAGATCCAAAAAACGTGAGCACATTTCTCCAGTTTTAGCCTCTTTGCACTGGTTTCCTGTACATTTTTGATTTTAAGAGTTTATTGTTTGTTTTTAAAGCTTTGAACGGACTGGCCCCACAGTACGTCTCAGATCTCCTCCAAATGCATCAACCGAGAGCTTTAAATGAAAACAATTAGAATTAAAATATTTATGAGTACATTTTAATGTGTTACTTTTAACTGTGCAGCACTTTAGAAACATGTTTTATAAAATATGCTATATAAATAAAGTGGTTTGAATTAGATAAATGTACATAGAGTTGAGTTGAGCCAGGGAAAAGTGGAAAAGGCCTGGTGTGTCTCACCTGTCCTCCGTTGGTGGTGGAGAAGATCCTCATGGTGCCTCCACACTGGCGCACGTACCATAAGAACCACAGCGCGGACACTTCGTGAGGCTCAGATGTTACGTTCACGTTCACAAACAGTTTGGCAAAGCGGCAAACGGCACTGAAAATAGATAATACATTTATTTTTCCCAAAATGAGGTAAAGGTAGATAGATAGATTTGACATGCACAGTAAAGGATTGAGGAGGCTTGTGTACCTGGTCCAGCAGGTTCTATCAATGAATTGCTGCATCGTCATTTTATCCCACTCCTCAGCATGAGGGGCTCTCCACGGGGCCTCTCTAGGGATCTAAAAAACACAAAAAAATAAGAACCCAGATAGTGAATATTCAAACTAATTTCAGTTGCATTTACCTCTTTTCCCATTTCGTCCATTGTCCTGAAGAAGTTGTTGAGGTCCATAGAAACAAAAGGATTCCAAGTGGGAGGAGAGGGGCCTTTGAATGGATGTGATTTTCCCTGTAGAATAAAACAAGACAGAAGATCTTTGTGAAATGTATAGAAGATCTATATTATTGGAATCCCAGCTAGGGATCTAAAAAACTATGAATTTTCATGACCGACAACCGAGCCTCATTAACCGCTTGAAACTGGTTAACCCGCTTAGTTAAAAATATTCCACGTTCTTTGAAATAACAGCCATTTCGAGCCGCATACTTCTCATGGGTGCAGCTCTGCGTTCTACTGGATCAGAGCCAAGACAGCGGCGCCAAAACCGGCAACAGCTTCGGCACCTTTGCGCACAGAGAACTGCTTTTTTAATCTTTCCATTCTGCTGTGCTGCGGGTTAAAACTTTTTAGCAGCAAACGGCTCGTTCGCATGGTCAGAGCAGCGAGTGACGAGCCGAGTCTCACAGGCCTTCGCTAAAGTTTAAATACCAGTGATGTGTGTGGAGCTGATCTAATGCCAAGGACCGGCAGCACAAACATGTTCCATGTGATTTGACTGGAGCCGTGTATTTGGATACTTTGGGCTGCGTGACACAGAGGAGCGCGACAGACTGTGTGTGTGTGTACAATACATGTATGTGTGTGTGTGCATGTATGTATGTGTGTGTAAATGTAAGCTCCAATGTAGTTCTGACCCACGCTAGTGTGCAACTTTGGCGGACAGAGGGGAGAGATGATGCGTGTGGATGTTACGTATCAATGGAGGGGGGAAAGTGTGTGTGTGCGTGTGTGTGTGCGAGTCGGCCCGGAGTTTACTGATACATTGCTGCACACAGCTAGAGACAGACCCACTCTCCACATCGTGCAAATAGGGCTTAAAATAGCGTTATTAAGACACCTTCCCTCTCCCCTTTTCTTTTTTTTAACCAACAGCTTTGACCGGTTAACGCTGTGACGGTCAACCACCGGTTAAACAGTCACCGATTTACATCCCTAATCCCAGCCAAATACATACTGTATAAAAGGATTAATGTGTTGAAATGATCAATCCATGTAAACAATGCAAAATAATAATAATAATAATGCAGGGTTTTTTGTATAGCGCTTTATAACGCATTATTCACACAAGTGTATTTCTCAGAAGGAGAAAACAGTGTTTGTTCTGTAAGATGCCTTAAGATGACCCCCATTATGCTGATAAAGTGATAATATAATATTGACTCAGAAGGCTGATTGCAGTCCCCAGTAAAGAACAAACCTATAACCAGACATTGTTCTAACCCGTTTCTTGTGCATGTAGACCTCAAGTTCTGTTTGCCATTTGTATTGACAGAATTTCTGGAGGCAGCCAGGGGACAGGAAGGGCAGGTTTGTGGATCACAGGATAAAGTTTCATGTACTGTAACTCGTCACAAATGTATTTGTTCTGGGTCACACTGGTCATTAAACCTAAACTAGTTAAGAGATTTCATGACACTTTGAAGCAACTGTGATTAAAGTTAAACTCATCAATCTAAAAATGCACCAGGCAGTACTTTTCCACTACGTGTTTGGTTAGTTGAAGCCACTGGCACCGTGGCAAATGCTGATGGGAGGACTCCATTCCTTCATGCTGTATAATATCACTTGCATTTTGTGAAACTTTGTTCGTGCTCGTCTACCATTGATAATAAAACATATCTTCTGTCTGCTGTAAACTGCTGAGAAATGGACAATATCATTGTCCTCTTTGCATGGTAATAATTTGGACAGAATTGGATTGCTGAATTTGGACACGAAAGCTGAAACTTGTGATTGAAAGACACGTCACAGGAGTATTCACGACTCAACACGAATTAAAATCAGAAGCCTGAAGAAATCCACACGGAAAGTGGGAGAGAGTGTTTTCAAAGCACTATCTAAGAACCACCATTGACTGAGGAATTTTGGTATTTCACTGAAGATTGTTGATGAGTTTTCTGAAAGATCTGAACATGTTTTATGAGTTTTCTGAGTCTTTGAAGTATTGAGTTCTGAGTTTTTTTAAGTATCCTGAAGTATACTGAGTTTCTGAAGTATGATGAGTATTTTTGAAATATTGAGTTATGAGGTTATGTTGCTGTTTATCAAACCTGATGTGCTCACGGGAATGTGTGAGCAAAGGGGGGACATCATGACACTTTGAAGCAACTGTGGTTAAAGTTGAACACATCATTCTAACAATACACACAAGGCAGTACTTTTCCACTGCATGTTTTGGTTATCTCAAGGTTGAAGCCACATGCACCATTGCGAATGCTGATTGGAGGTCTCCATTCCTCCATGCTGTATAATATCACTTGCATTTTGTGAAACTTTGTTCGTGCTCGTCTACCATCGACAATTAAACATGTCTTCTCTCTGTCGACACGATCCCAGACAATTGTCAGTTTCTTCAATAGCAAAAAAAATCTGAAGCAATTTTAAGTGCAGCTGAGTGCCGTGTTGGGGCTACTGTGCACTGCCCATACAACAGGTCTGTCGCCATGGAAACCCTGTTGAAGTGAATACAGAGAAGCAGAGGGGCGGGGCAAGCAGCTTTTGTCTCCACATCAGCGACATCATCAGCTGCAGTCAAGGTGAAAGTCCAAGCTAACATTACCAAAGCTAAAATGTATCAACACTGAAAAATGTACTTTGAAAAAATAATAATAACTTCATTGGTTTCCTCTAATGAGTGTGGGTCTGCCAGTATAGGTACAATATTGACTTTTCATATGATAAATCTATGATATGGCTACATATTTATGAAATGTTTATCTCAATGTGGATTATTGAATTAAATGTTTTGTAAAAATGCACTTTCTAATAGTGGTGTGAAGCTCCTTGTGAGTTTATAAGAAGCTGAAGCATTAAAAAGGATATGTCTTAATGAAGGCTGTGCTGAGAGCTGCAGCTGCTCGTTAGCCAGTAGTTTGCTGATAAGGGAAACAGCTCTGGCCTTCTGGATTACTATCTCCACAGAAAAGCTGATTAGCCACGCAGCTCTCATCAATGCTACCTTTAAGCACACTATCGTTTCAGCATGCAGACTTCAACTTCTTCTTCTTTGGCCTTTCGCACAAACAGAGTCATTAGAAGTTATACTTTTAATATTTCCGATATGTGGCTAGATATATTGTATACAGAAAGGCTCCAGGAAGTGGGGCTCGTATGTTAACCACCAGGAGGAAGCAGGCTTTGTATACGCTAATACGGAGAGTCTTTTGTTCTGTTTTGGTATCTGCATATGAAGGTGTGTCTTGTACTATCAAAAGAGTTTGCAGCCTTGAGTGAGTTAGAGCTTGTTTTGGCAGGGGAGACAGAGCACTCTCTGCTGCTCACTTCTCCTTAGAAAAGGCTACCAAGGTTAATAATGCCGGAACGGTGTCTTTTGTGTAGGTTTTTTTCTCAGGCAGGACTGTGGTTAAAACACGGCTAAGCTTAGCTACGGCTAAGCTAACACAATGAGTGCTGTAAACCAGAGGTGTGGACTCGACTCATGTGACTTGGACTCGAGTCAGACTCGAGTCATGATTTTGATGACTTTAGACTCGACTTGACCAAATGTAAAAAGACTTGCAACTCGACTTGGACTTTAACATCAATGACTCTGACTTTCACTTGGACTTGCGCCAATTGACTTGCAAAGACTTGCGTAACCCGGGCCATTTTTACCTTTCTCCGCATCTCTCTTTCTATCTATGCCTATCTAAGCGGCACAACTCGGCAGAACACCGTCTCTGAAGAAACAAAGCCTCGCGGTAGTTGTAGCGCTCGCGAGAGAGTTCTCCGCAGTTCGCGCAGCAACACTTCCCTAAACAAGCGCACTGCATTCCCCGGTGGGTGTGTTGTCTAGGGGAGCTGGAAATGAGCGAGCTGCAGGTATTTATCGCGACCTAACGTCATATTTTGTTCTACAAACCGTAATTGATATGCTTTCACTACAGGCGCCTCATAGAATTGAATCGACGCAGTTGTCACACTGTGTGCCGTGTTTTAAAGAGGAACTGGTGAGTCAAACTAGCGCTAGCCTGCGCTGCTCTGTTAGCTATTTCTTATATTTTTCTGTGTGGGCGCCGAGGCCTATTATTATGAGTATGTTTTTGCTGTGCTCCTCCTGCTAAAGTTTGCATACATTAGATAGTTGTTTTGATTATGTGCACTAAGCTAGATTAATATTTGCACTATTGTTTATGGTGCATTGATATGAGAATCAGTGCTTTGACTGATTGAATTAATTTATATGAGACATTTTATTATGTAATGATATATTGGTAATTATGAGATATTGCTAATGCTGGTCCAGTTCATACAGGCCAGGGTCCTTCCCCTCCATTGGTCCCTTCAGTCCTTTGGAACAATAACCACTACGGACATTAAACTGATTATATAGATACAGGTCCTAGCCCAATACTCATATATGCTGCACTGCTGCACTTGCTACTTCCCATTAAAAACCCCAAAGATAAAAAGTATGTTGACACGGACTGCTCTGATTTTATGTGTGTTCTGTGCATGTGTAACTGAGCCTGCATCTGGCACAACATCCAATTAGATCACGTAGATAGTTTTGATTTACCAGCAGCCAACCACATGGAACAAACTGTTAGTCCATGGGTCAGAGACCAACGAGAATGCACCAGCAAAATGATTCCTAACATTATTTTGTTTGCCTACAAAAGTACGTGGAGACCAACAAGAAACAAATCGCGGTCAAAAAGACTCGAGAGGACTCGAAAGTCAAACCGTAGGACTTGGGACTGACTTGAGATTTGTTGGCCTTTGACTTGGACTCGACTCGGGACTTGCCTGTCTTGACTCGTGACTTGACTCGGGACTTGAGGGCAATGAATTGAGCCTGACTTGTGACTTGCTAAACAATGACTTTGTCCCACCTCTGCTGTAAACGCATGGATCTATAATAATAACGTGTAAACGATTTTGTTAGCTTAGCCGTAGCACCAACTTGAAACCACGCCCCCCTTCCCTAGCCTCTCCACCAAACCAAACATCCAGAATTTTCATTTCTTTGTCACAACAGGGAGAGTGGGTGGCAAACTTGAAATCGGCATTTTCTGTTCAGCCCTTTTAGGTTTTAGAAAACCGATAACTCAGGTGCACACACTCGCAAGAATCCCATTGATTTTTTTTATTTTATTGGTCCACTCCAAAATATGTTGTATACATTTTGGGAGACTATGGGAATCAGAATCAGAATCAGAATCAGAATAATTTTTATTGCCATGTGAGTAACAAAGTTATCACTTGGAAATTGTCTTGGCAGAGAGCGTGCCACTTCGCCATTTGCGGCGCTGTGTGCAGCAAGAAACAGCAGAGAGCAATAACATACAGTTCACAGACAATTGGATAGACACATTGTGCTTTTTATAAACCACGGATTTTTTTCTCGGGATGAGCACCTCCGGCGGCCGGCCCAATGTAGCTGTCAGAGGGGGGCGGGATCAGGGAGGGGGTGAGTAGGAAAAACAATAAGGAATGGAGGGGAGGGAGGGAGCAAGATGGATAGGTAGAGGGAGGCGGGGGTGAGGGATCCTTGCTGGAGACTGAAATAGTGTGAGTTGTTGTAGATTGTGGGACCTTGTTTATGGCCTTGGTCGAGGAATGTGAGATAAGAGTGGAGAGAAGACACAGCAGGAGAAAAACACATCGCCTGAGAGGGACAATATTATATGCAATGTAGCATCAAAAGCAGGCAGATATTCTATTAATTCCAATTAAACCGAATTACGGCGCCCTCAGACCTCCGTACACAGGGGCAAATCCAAGCCGGGTCAGAGAGTTCAAGCCTGACAAACAATGTCATTCAATCTCAATTCCAGAGTTTTATGCCCATCGAGTGAACGAGCTGCGAGATCTTTGATCAACTGTTCCACTAACACCACTCTCCTTTGTCCAGACACGGCACTCTCAACCACGACACGGCTTAGCTCCTTGTACATCCCATCAATTTTGTCGGCCAGCAGGTCGTGAATCTTGCGAACTGCCATGCCACCGAATTTGTGGTAGAACAGGATCGCTCCAAACCCAAACAGGAGGATTCCCACCACCAAAATGCCAAAGATATATACGTCTTCCGAATCTTCAATGGACAGGGTCGACAGACAGAGGGGCTGAAACTTGTTCCAGCTGTCAAGAGTATACCCCGCCGGTGAAGTCCCGTCCGGGCACACGGGCTCTCCAGACCCACGCTTACGTGTTGAAAAGATAGAATCAATTGCATTGAGGGACCAATTAATCATTTCCATTCTGTTAAAGTTGTCTGTGGCAAAACTCCAGGAAAAAAGACAAAAACAGGAGATAGCAAGCCGTTCAGAAGCAGGAGCGGACTAAGACACGTCTTTGCTCGACGGAGGAGGAAGTGAGAAGGATGGTCAATTCCAATACTATTTGAAAACACATGATAACTTGACAACTTTTAGGGTTTAGGGACATTTTCTTACAAAATTTTAAAAAATGTGTCTCAAAAAAATCACTGCATCTTTAACACAGTGTGAGATTTCATAACACTTTGAAGCAACTTTTGTTAAGGTTAAACTCATCATTCTATCAATGTGCAGAAGCCTGTACTTTTCCCTTGTTTTGTCTATCTGAAGGCCAAGCTACATGGCACTGTGGCAGCTGCTGATTGGAGGTCTCCATGCCTCCGCTCTGTATAATACACTTGCATTCTCTGTCCGTGTTGTTCGTGCTGGTTTTTTTAATAGCACTTTACATGTCATTTATTCATTCACTCCGTACACGGTGGCGTTACAGACAGTAGGGGGCCGTCATAACACAAGACAAACAGCAAGAGAGGATCGAAAGAAAAGAGAAATATAGTGTGGCCCTGCGGAAAACGTGAGGTGGGACTTCCGGATCTCCCTAAACACCTTCAAGTTAAACGTATGAGAGTGTGTTCACAGTAAAGTGACAATTGAAGTATCTGGACTTTAAAAGGTTATAACTTTAAAACTAAAATTACTTTCATAGATTGGAAGAAAGATTTCAAACACAGACACATTGAAGAGATAGTGTGGAAAAAATCTAAAGGAAAGATTGACATAAAAATGTTTAGCAACATTTTAAACGACCAAATCAGCCTCTGATTGGACCATTCTACTGTGACGCCAGTTACATAGAAAATAAAATGTCCTCAGTCTGAAAAAGCAGAAGATGAAATCCCACAAGATTTACATGGTTAACACAACAGAAGGGAATCACTTGATATAAAAAGGAATCGTAAAAAAAAAAAAAAAAAACCTGAAAAATGTATAACGGACGTGATGAGGACGGTCCTCTTTTCTCTAAAAATTAAACTTGAGGAAAAAAAAAATCTGGTCTGTTTTCACATTTAATTGGTTGACAATATGAAAGTATCACTTTGCATCTACTTTGTGTAAAAAAATAGAATCTCTGAATCAAATGTGGACATCTGAAAATACCTATCAAACTTCCACAAAGCTCATTCCGTCAAATCATCACGTCCGTTACATAAAATAAACAGGGCCGCTATAGGAAACTTGTCTAATGTATAAAACAGTTATGTTCTAGCAACTTCTAAAGGACAGAGGAGGTGCTTGGAAACATGAAAAACATAAAATATCTTCTGATTATTAAAATCTAATTTTTGGCCTTTTGTCACACTTTTGTGCCCTTTAGTGTGAACAAGCCCATGAATACCACGACAAGCTGCTTTTCAACATAGCCCTCTCAACTCCACCATTATTGAGTTGTCTAGTTTAACTGCAACAGGCCCACACTGCTTTGGATACCAATGTTACTTGGGGTCTGGCAGTGATGAACCCTGCTGCCATGGAAACGTACCAATAAGCCGGAGTGGCATTTTGGCTCGTGAGTGGATCTGGGGAGATAGTAGCCAAGGAGACCCCCACACAGGTGCTCCTATGGAATTGCACACACCGGTCCGAGGCTGCGTTCAAGACACACTGCAGTCCATATTTCAATGACATCCAAGCGTAAAATGCCACAGTGGTGAATCATTTAGTAAAATAGGTCAAGTCTGGAGAAGCAAAGTGGAATGAACGTCTGTGAAATAAACATCTCCCTCTCCAACTAGCTCAGGAAAAACAGAAACCAGACATTAACATTCCTACTCCTGTTCATGGAATGTTGTACTTTCTGGATTGTTGTGGTATTTTGTTGCATTGCCATGAAAAAAATGGAGCAAAATAAAGGGACAATTTAAATAACGTAATCTATCTGGAAAAAAAACCTGCACTGCTATTGCCACTCTTTCTTTTATTGCTTCTTTTTTATTATACATACAGTAATTATATCCTGCCCTTTTTTTTTTTCTCCTTTTAAACCTTTAACATATTTGCAGACTTCTGTCTTTTGCACAATCTGAGTGATTCTATCTATGGCAAATGTGACATGTACATTTTTTCCAGTGTGAGATCAATAAAGTCTTATCTTATCTGGCTTTATGGAGCAACACAAGAGCCAGATGACAAAGAAGTAGTGTGTGTTATGCAGTAGTTATTTCTCCGCATTTTGACCTCTTATGGATAGAACTTTGGCTTTTTGGGTGAAATATATACAGCACTTCAGACAAGGCAGGCAGGGCGAACCGGCACTATCTTGGCTTGAACATGGCACAAATTAAATCAGGTGTTTTAGGAGGAGGGGATACATCTTCAAGATCTTCAGTAAGGAGGATCACTCTTTGTGTCCAGGCCATTTGCCTTCTTCTTTTATGTGATCAGATATTCAATTAGCGGAATCCCCCAGGCAAAGATTAGAATCACCAGTCTCTTACTCTGCAGAAAGATGCATGTTTCCCCCCATTTTTTTCTTCAGTGTGCTCAAAAAAGACATTACTATAACTTAATGTGAATTATATTATTTAATTATCTTCCCGTGGACCCACCACCTGCAGGAGGAACAGCGAGGAGCCGGTGCTGTGTGATTTGGGTGACAGCTCTGATTGCCACCCCCCCAAACCCAGAAATTGAATAATAAAGGGGATGAAAATAACATGACATGTAGTATTTATTTATATAAGTATTTATCAGTATTTCATTATTTTGCATGGGTGCGTTGCTGAGTCAATGTTTTTAATAATCTCTAAACCACTTTGTGTTACATGATTGTATCAAAAGCTCTATAAATAGCAATAATAGAATAAAAGCTAAATATATTGTTTATGACAAATTATATTTGGTATTTGAGGGTTGCAATGTATTGATAGCACAATACATTGAGCCACAAAACATTTTTACAGCCCGTTCAAATAATATAAAAAAATATAAAAAACAAATATTGAATTGAAGAAAGGTTCTCAAAATACAACATGATAAGGCCTAATTTAATCAACTTTTTCTGATAATTTGACAAATAAAAACAAAAAAACCGATATGTCCATTTTGGCAGATATCGGTACAGATAATTCGGTATCGGTACAGATAATTGGCCTGGCCGACAGCCGCTCCATCCCTACTTACTTACATTGATGTAGTGCACCAGGTTTTCCGTCTCGTTCACTTTGTAGGTTTGGACGCCGTACTCTCTGGCCAATCGCAGGATCCTGTTCTGAGTTGGGCCAACGTACGCTCCTCCCAAATCAACCCACTTTGTCTGCTTATTCTGCAAACAAGTACACACAAATCACTGTAATTGCACTGCAGGTACACTTGTACACACAGAGCAGTAGTTTTGGCGTCACACCTGCACAGTGAAGGTCCGGCCCCCGACCCGGTCCCTGGCCTCCAACACCACAGGGTTCAGTCCGCTGGATTTCAACAGTTTTGCAGCACTCAGCCCTGTGCACAGTCAAACCAGGTCACAAGTCATGCACTGTGCACTTCTTCTGTGGGAGAGACGTGTTGCAATCACAGATGGAAAAGTTTATACAAACTTGGACTTTCAATGTGGAAAGGGTCATTTAAGGTAACAGACTGAAGAAGTAAATAAATAGTTAAAACTGTAACAATTTTGGAATGTTCCTGAAGGATCCAAAAATTAGAAGTAAATAGTTTTCTATGTCCTGGTGTAACTCAAGAACAGCATGACGGCAGAAAACACAAGTAGGATATCTCATGTTTCAATAGGATTAATGTCCAGAGCCCATAAATGAAATTGAATCCAACGCAACACGGCTGAGATGCTGATTTGCTGCCGGTGCAAAAACAAGAGCATTTTTGAAAATAATACCAAAGTAATATCCATGTTTAAATGCGTTGGAGAAACTACAATCAGAGTGATCTTTTAGAGGTCAGAATATTTGATGGTAGCTATGTTTGAAATGTGCAAAAGTAGTCTTTGATTTCTTAACCCTGTGATTAGGAGCAGCTCGAAGGAAAGATGTTTTGGGTACAAATCACACAGTTCATACAGAATACGGCCCAAAGTGCTTCACAGTGACAACAACTGGCACCAGTAGTCAGATAAAAACACAGAGTAACCCACATACCATCAGTCCTCATGTCACTGCACAACTGAAGAATAAGTGAACTAACAAAGAATGAAGAGTAAACCAGAAAACACTTTGGAGGTTTCAAAAATTAACAATTCAATTAAACTAAATTAACTCTGGTTCATTTGCGACAAAATGTGAACGCATCCTTAGAATACACAGACTCCTTGTACAGTGACCTGCGGCTCCCACAACTTTAACTTAATAAGACACAACATAGATGCACTGCTTTATCTGACTTAAAGCTCTGCTGTATGTCAGATAAAGAGAGGAAGTGGAACTACTGGGAGAACAACAAACTCCACAATGCAATAAAACAGATACATATAGAATTCAATTTATTTTTCTTTGTTAAGCCTGAATCTTTTATTTGTTTCCTTTACATCATTTGAGGGTCTGATGCCACAGCAGGAACAAACATCCGTCTAAATGTTTTCACAGCCGTCCCTCTAAATGCCTCCCTGACCTAATATTTGCAGCCAATCCTCTTCTCCCTACAGATGTTATAAAAACTTGTATAGCTTTTATCTCTGCCTTTTGCCTGACACTGTGTCAAATCATGCAGCTTGGATAGAATTAACAGACACAGCATACACAACACAATGCAATTAGTAGCCAACTATCAAAATGCAAAGTGCATAATGTGCGTCAATGTTATGTCCAGACAACAGTCACAGGTGGAGGGGGGACGTCTTTTAGCAGTAACAGGAGATATTCAATGATGTATAGTTGTAGGAGTTCCATACGGCTGTCGAGTAATACAATAATAATGTTTTAAGATAAGATAAGAAATTCCTTTATTCGTCCCACAGTGGAGAAATTTAAGTGTCATCATTGCGCTCATTACAGCAGTTTTACATCCGTTAAAAGCAGTATGGCCACAGAACTGTCAGGAGGCAAACACAAAGGGATCCGTTCTAGAACAAATGAAAGTGTGCAGCAGCCACTCAGATCCTGCTGTTAAATGGGGTTACCTGTGCTCCTCTCGAAGGTCAGCCGTCTCAGAAAACAAATGGTCTTTGTCTGCATCTGTGTTTATGGCCAGAGCGATCATGGCAGAGAGGTCTGTGCTTTCATCCACAATTGGTCTAATTAGACAATATTGTCCATTTGTCTAAGAAGTGAAGCCCAGTGCACATCAAGCTAAGATGATGGAGCCTTCACTAAAAACAGCAACAAAGAGCTCCTGCACGGAACAAAAGACACAGTAACATTTCACAAAAGTGTGTGAAACCAAGAAATCTAATCTGTTGATTTGAGATTTATTTTAGAGTAAACTAATGAAAACCTTTCTGATTTTAGCATCAACAATCTTATATTACTTATATCACTAACATGAAAACTGCCAGACCCTTTAACATCCATACAGTATTTGGGAAAAGGGCAACTTGTTGACTCTAAAGGATTTCAACTACTTCAGATCTCAAAAACAGAGTAAATAATATTTAGAGACAAGCATCAAATTGTCTGTCCACAGTTTTGGTTGTAGACAACGCATTTAGCCCCTTTATATTTACTGCTGACTGCCCCCACCAGGTCCTAGGGGCTTGAGATGACCTACATGACTGGTCAATGTGAGATCTTTCTAATACCACAGATCGTTTTACGAGAACATGCTTTTGAAATCCTTTTTGCACTGGAAACACAGAACACTTATGCTTGAATGGCCACATCACAAGACACACTTTGTTTCAGGCCTGGTGTGAGAAAATTAAAGGAGACACAGTGTTACCATGACAACAAGGGAAAGCTGTTTGGTACAACTAACTAAATTTGCGTGAACAGGGCCTCTGATAACTCTCGGGAATCTGTTTACGGACTGCTAATTTGACATTTAGCTGCTAAAAACAAAAAAGCGTCCTGAAAACATGGTCTGTGGAGAAGCTGGTACCACAGTATTTATTAAAAGCAGAAGGCAAATCCACAATATCACATAGTTCACCGCAATCCTCTAGAGTCAAATTGGAAAGATTGCAGAATAACACTATTGTGCATTCCTAGTTCACAGTGTAACTTTTGTTTGCCGCCTGGAAAAGTTACATTCTTCACCAATTGTTAATATCTAAGACTGCAGTCTACTCTATCACAGACGATCACTTTGAATTTCTTTCTACACCATCCATCCATCCATCCATTTTCTACCCTTTAATCCATTTCTGGGTCAGGGGGGCGGCAGTCAGAGATGCCACCCAAGTCTCATAGCACCAGCCCCTCACTGATCCTCTGCAGGTGGTGAGTCCACAGGAGGACGGCTGCTCTCTGAGTGTGAGCATAGCCTTGATCTTTCAGTGGGGGCTTTGGGCAAAGTGGGGCTAAGTGTCTTGCCCAAGGACACAACGACAGCAGTCATCAGTGGGAGTCGGTGGAGAAGGTGCAGAGGTGGGAATTGAACCCACGACCTTCAGGCCTTAAGGCCAATGCTCTACCAACTGAGCTACTGTCGCCCTTCTACACAACAACCTAGAAATTAGTCATTTTTAATCATTAATAAATACACTTCAATCCTGATCGGTTCAAGAATCAACTTTGTTTTTGTCTGAAGCAGTTGAGAGAAAAACTGCCATCTCTCCCACCCACAAAGGGCACCAAAATATATATGACATGTTAGTCCCATATGAACCAGCCAGGACTCTGAGGAGCACAGGGACTGGACTCCTGCTAGTGCCCAGAGTCAGGACTAAACATGGGGAGGCTGCTTTTCAGATTCATGCTGCTAAAATCTGGAACAATCTTTTGTATTTCATATAATAAGTCTAGAAGAAATCCAAGAAAAAAATCCGACATAATTTTGAAAGAGCCCTGCGACGCTTTAGTCTGAGAGATGATTGGCTAAATGAGTGGCCCTCTGTTTTGAGAGCAAAAACTATAATTACATGAATTTTACTAAATCGTTTTTTTGTGGTTTGAAAGTTAGATATCTTTGTGCAAACAATCATGTTTCTGTGTAAAACTAAAACAATTCCAAAATCCACCCCACCAGGAACAGGCACAATTGGAATCTCTGGGTATTCTCTCGGAGATTAGGTCTCATAATCTCCCTTTTAAAGAGTAAACAAAACACTAAAGTTGCGTTGAGTGACATACAAAGATGCCATTATGTGTCGGAAGAGCGGGTCATGTTAAAAGAGTGTGGTTTAAGACAACAGCTTCAAGTTAAAAGTATGAAAATAAGCATTGACCGTAGGAATGGACTGACTGATGCTAAGGTCACCATTGTGTTTACATGATGGCTAAGGCAGGCTGGAGTTTACCCCGTGAATTCATTATATGGCTCATATCTGGGTTTTTGTGCTAATAAAGCTGTATTAACTTTAACCGTTGGACTACTCATAGAGCTCAAAAAGCCCAATGGAATGTGTTACTCAATTTTCAATGTAACGAATACATTCAATTAAATATGAGGAAAAGCTTGTGGGTTTGCATTGTCATTCGATAGTCTATGCTTAAAAGTAGAGATATTACCAATACTTCACCTCATTTAAAGCTAATATTCTGAGGAGACCAACCACACAATCTATGCCTCTCTAAACAAGAATCGAAAAATGAAATTCATCATTATTTGAATTTCAAATTCAAAAAATCATTATTTCTGTAAAACACCTAATGGTTTCTGTTGTTGACTAAAAAAATTAGGAATCTGTATTCAGACAAATCAGTTTTCTCACTAAACCGTTTCACCTTTGGTCCAAGTTGTATTCAATTCATTTTGTTCAGAAAAAAACAAAACATCTTCAAAATACCTTTGATAAAGTGAATAAATAAGCAACAAATATGCTTCCACAAATAAAATACGGAATATCTCGCTGACATTAGAAGTCTGTGTTAAATTATCAAGTTTAAAGAATAAAACATAAAAGCATACTCTGAAAGGTGAATGCAAAAGTGAAGGCATTGCAAAGGTGACTATTGTGTTGCCATGGTAATAGATGTGTCATATGCTTGGTCTGTAATGTTTGTGTTATTTTTGGGTCGTCAGCGAATGATAAGACTGGAAACCTTTTGAGGCTGCATGTTTGAACTGTGTCAACAAACTAATGGATTAGGCCATATGGACTCTTTGAAGTGATGGTATGGGCATAATGTGGGCGTGTTCTGTTGTCTAAATAAATAAACCTGTGGCAGAAAGGAATTCAGTGCAGGCACAGCCACGGCACCAAATCAGAGGTGTGCCATGGGCGTGCAGGTGCTCCGTGCGTTGATTTGTATGGTTTTGTTCAGGTACTGTTGTTTGAACCAGCTTTAACACTTGACTGAAAATATAAAAAACTGGTATTGGCAACAGAAAAGCTACAGTGGTGATCCTTAAGTCTAAATGTACTTTCCAGACAGGTTACATAAAAAAATGTGGTAATCTTTTCAAATCTTCAACAACTCTCCCATATATATTTCCTTCATTTACAAACAAATTCCAAGGGCATTTTCCAGAGTTGCCACCCTATTCATGGCAGATTGGCCAGCTCAAAGACTGCTGCTACACTTGTGATGTTTGACATTTCATTTGCTTTCAATCCTTCTGGTGAGTATGTGAGCCAACACCACCACAAAATGTGTTTCCCAAAGAAAACAAAGAAAATAATCTAATAGTAGTTGAGTGACATGTGTGCCTCTTGAATCAGGTCCTGCACGGCTCCGTATCGATCTGCTGCCCAGAAACATTATATACGACACGAGACAATCACATTTTCTGTCCTCTTCACAGCTCAGAGACACTGATTGGACGTTTATAGACAAACAAACAATATCGACAAACCATTACGGAGACCGGGATGAACCAGAACAAGCATTAAAACAACAATTACAGCCCTCATTAGTATGGGAGTCAAGATATTAACAGATGTTTGATATCTAAAAAGGTATATTTTATGTCAAGTGAGAATGTATATTCATTGAAATCCTTTTCATTGTCATTCATCAAAGGAAAAATAATCACTTTAAAATGAGTAGAAAAATGACAGGGAAAACCCATTATCTTAAAAACATAATTTTCACATCATATTCTCCTATATATTTGAATCACTTTTTCAAGTCACACAGAGAATGTTACAGAATAGCTCCATCTAATGATGATGGTCTGACAGCGGGCGGCTCCGTCATGGACCTGTCCGATATTACCCACAAGCCATAGAGAATGAGGCGTTTGAAGGAGGGTGTGCAACAGACAATTACCTTGCCATTCACTCATGACATAATTATGCATCATTATCATCATTATCTTTTCCTTTATTTCTTTTTTATGCTTCTTGAGGGTCATAATTATTGCTATAGACCATTAATTACCCAGGATAGTCTCACTGAGGGGAGATGCGACCCCAGCAGGAGGACACATGTAGAGTACATGTTTTTAATGGTAGGGGAAACCATAGCACCCAGAGGAAACCTACGCAGACATGGGGATAACATGCAAACACTCGGACCCAGGGGCACAAGTGCACAACTCTCTTCAGCCCACAGCACTCCTACTGCCACATTATTGGTTCCTGTCGATTTCAATTGACACTTTATCGTCAATAATCAAAACCTACCCATGAAATATGCATTGTTTCTATCTTGCATTATAGAAAGGATATGATATTATGTGGCTATTTTTCAACTATTATTCTGTTTGACACATTCATCACAAGAAATGTTGATAGAGGGTGGCTTCCTTCTTTCCTTCCTTCTTGGAGATTTCCCAAATCCACATCCGCTGAGACAGGCTGGTTGCACATTGTTGTTCCCCACATCCCCCTAGGCTCTGCAGTATTTGTGCGACTGTCACAAACACTTAACGTTTTCTAAGAAAGTCTCGCCGCTTCAGGCTCAGTCTTACTGGAGGGCACAATACGACAATAACATTTGTTGAAAACAGCATAAATATGTCAAGAAGAAAACAGAAAAAATCTATTCTTAAAAGTGAAATCATTGAAAACTTTCAATTTTATTTACTGTAACTTTATTATAAAATGAAAGACCTGAGGTAATGTGATCAGCTCGCAAAAGGATTCAGAGATTAGAAATCATCTGCTGTGATGAATATATCAAAATATCATAGCTCACATGCCCCTAATGTAAATCCATACATTGATGTTTGAAGAGATATACATAACTGCAACCAGTTGTTAGCTCACCATTATGTCAAAAGCTCTCTGGGGAGAAAGCTGCAGACCAAACTATTGATCAGGCAAGAAAGTCAATCAACTTCAGTCAATTGCACAAAATACTACATCTACGGTTAAGAGTTCATCTTTAATCTAAAAGTCAAGTGCTTTTTGAACGGACTGTTAAGTAATATGGCAAGACTGCATGACATAATAGGGAGCATGCACATCTCAGTGGGCTCCAAATGGTTTGAATTATGAATAGCACTTAAATGCAGCCTAAATATATATATATATTAAAAAAATCCCCTGTTAAAAGCCTCCGAGTATGCCAGATAAACAAATGTAAGTTAGGGAGCAGATGAGAGCATCAGCCCGCAGCAGAGCTCACTGGGTTATGTAATGAATAGAGTCATTAGCAGCCACTTCACAGACACTGCAGCGACAGAGGCTCTGGCTGCACAAAAACACACGGATATACGAGAAGGAACACGCGTGGGGAATTGCACAAGATTGCACAAGACTTTTCAAAGTATATGTAACCTCTCTGTCAAAGCCCGTCTCTATCCGCCTTGTTGTGCGGCAGTAGACGAGCAGCATCACCGTGCATCTGCTCTATTTCTCTCCGCGGAACAACTGAGCGCTGCCAAAGTAAAGTTTGTGTCCGTGTCCGTGTCTGCTTCACCTGAGAGTCCTGCACCGATCACCACCACGTCGTAGGAGCTGTTGGGAGCCGTCATGATCCTGCAGCGTGTCCACAGCCGCCGACGAGCGCAGGACGAGCGGACAGCGCATCTGTAATAAAAGCACCGACCATAGACCGACCAGCCCACCCCCAGACCCCGCCCCTGGAGCTGTAACCGCGGCAGTGCATGAGAGCGTTTTTAGTGCTACTTATAAAGAAAGGCTTATCTAATCCGGCACTGTTTAAACGAAGCGTACTGGATATGCATCAAATCAAATTCATGTAATTCTCCATGTTATTGTTTTATTTAGATTTTATGTGAGTATCCTTTAGGTCATGGGGATTCTCCCCCTGACATCAGAATCAGAGTTATTTTTATTGCCAGGTCACAGGTGAGTAACAAGAAGTCACAAACTAGGAAATTGCTTTGGCTCTCGTTGTAAACCAGTTATAAAGTAGAGAATAGAACAAGATTCAAGATTGTATTTGCCATTTGCAGTAAAACCACATTGGAAAAACTGTGCAAGACTACCCCAGGGTGCACCAGACAGAGAAGACGGCACACACCAGAGCTATTTTCACGGCACCACTTTCCAGAGCCATGCGACAAATAGTAGAATAAACAGCAGCGGGGAGTAACATACATTTCACAAAGACAGTTTGGAAGACATGGTGCGTCGGACAATTCTCACCCTTGCCCTTAAAAAGGACACTTGCCCTAGAGTTTGCGCATGCCCGCGGGAGTGCAAGGGTGTCCCAATACTTAAGGAGAAGAGGCGAGGGCCTTCACACCCCTAAAAACCACCCTTGAGCGCAAGTGAGGTCCGGAGCTCACTTGCGAGCGAGTGTGATCCCATGATGCATTACAATAGCTGTTGGTAAAGCAGCTGTGAGGCAAAGCCGTGCCACAATGAAAGAAAACAACATGAAACACCCGGGCACAAGTTTGTGCGGAACATGAGCAAGCTCCAAAGCGTGTGCGAGTCTTTCAGAAGTTTTAATGCTTGTGTTGGTGCCGTGTGTTATTATTATAGATCCATAAAGTAGTTCAGAGCATCGCTTTGACACAGTTTGCTTTGTGATCTGCGGAACCGCGGCTGTACCCGTCTGTCTCTGTGTGCGTATGTGTATGTACATGTGTCTGTCTGTGAGGTACGTCTCTGTGCGCGTATGTGTATTTACATGTGTCTGTCTGTGTGGTACGTCTCTGTGCGCGTATGTACATGCGTCTGTGTGTGAGCGTGTGTGTCTGCCTTTGTGTGTGTACATGTGTGTCTGTGTGCGTGTGTGCGTCTGTCTCTGAGTGCGTAATGTGCAGCAGTTCTGTACCTAAGTATAGCAAAACTTCATATGAAATAGAATTAAAAACTTCTCATTTTAATAAATTCATAAAGTATTCATAAAGTCATACTGTATCTGTGTCAGATCTTATCTGTGGTGAAATCAGACACATTGATAATGTGTGTGACGTGGAACACGTCTGCTGCCTCATTTGCATATTGTCCCCTTGATCCAGGGGTGTCCCAATTCTTAGGGAGAATGTTGTGAGTGCACTCCCCACTGGGAAGGCACTTTGCTGGTGAGGGCACTCACACCTAAGGGCAAGGGTGAGAATTGGAACGGGGCCATAAACTCTGCAGCCCTGTCCATTGTGGGCGGCCAGAGGGGACAGGGTAAATGGGGGCCAGAAAAGACGAGGGAGGGAGTAGGCGAGTGAGGAGGCAGAGGACGAGAAGGGGGGGGGGTTCAAGAGCTGGGTAACTGCTGTCAGTCTGTGAGGTTTGTGTTGAAGAAGAGTTTTCAACTTTTGGCCTTGGCCAATGGAATGTGGAAAGATTAGGAGAGGAGCCACAGTCTAACACACGTTTGCCGAAATGTATATAAGCAATGTAGCAGATCGAGTGTGTCAACCCCTAAAATTTTACAGAAAATGTATTTAAATTACTATGTGCAATAGGGTACAGTGTTGAGTTATGTGTTCATGAGTCCCACTGCAGAGGGGGAGACACTGTTCCTATGGCGGGAGGTTCTAGCCCGGAGCGTCCTGCCTGAGGGGAGTGCGGTTGGAATAGTCCACATGCAGGTGAGAGAGGTCAGCAGTGATACGACCAGCCCACCCTCGAGCTCGGGCGACATACAGGTCCTGCAGCAATGGGAGGCTGCGGCCACACGGAGATGGAGGAGGTGAGGATGGACTTGATGATGGTCGTATCGAACTGCACCAACATCCACAGCTGAGCTTTCCTGAGCTGCCACAGGAAGTACATCCTCTACTGGGCCTTCAACTCGAGGTCTTGGGTGATGGTAGAGCCCAGGAAACTAAAGGACTCCACAGAGGTGATGGGGGAGTACATCAGGGAGGGCGTGGGGACCGGGCTCTTCCTGAAGTCCACATCATCTCCACTGTCTTCTGGGCGTTCAGTTCCAGATTGTTACCCTGCTGTAGGTGGACACATCGTTGTCGGAGATGAGTCCAATGAGGGTGGTGTTGTCCGCAAACTCAAACATATTCTGATCATATCCTGAATTTGATTAAATCCTGAAGACTATATTTCTAACCTTAACATTGAAGAAGATGACATAGTCTGGGATCGTGTCTTTAATTCAGACAGAAGACATGTTTTATTGTTGATGGTAGAGACAGCACGAACAACACGAACAACAGAATGCAAGTGTATTATACAGAGCGGAGGCATGGAGACCTCCAATCAGCAGCTTCCACGGTGCCAGCAGAGATAGTCAAAACATGAAGTGGAAAAGTACAGGCTTCTGCACATTGATAGAATGATGAGTTTAACTTTAACAAAAGTTGCTTAAAAGTGTTATGAAATCTCACAACATATTTGCACACTTCTGTCTTTTTGCACAATCTGAGTGATTCTATCTATGCCAAAAGTGACATGTAAATTTCTCCATTGTGAGATCAATAAAGTTTATCTTATCGGCTTCACAGAGTCATGGCTGGAGGTGCAGTGGTTGGTGTACAGGGAGAAGAACATGTGAGGGCTCCTGTATTTATAATCTGGGTGTCCCAGACATTCTACCTCAGAGGCGCTGCATCCTGCCCGTCAGGAAGTCAATGATCCACCTGCAGGTGGAATCGGGCAAGTTGAGCTGGGAGAGCTTGTCCTGGAGCAGGGATGGCAGGATGGGGTTGAAGGCAGAGTCCACAAACAGGACGTGTAGATTCCCGGGGAGTCCAGATTCTGCAGGATGAAGTGGGAGCCAGGTTTGTGGCGTTGTCAACAGATCTGTTGGATCTGTAAACTGGATTTTATTAAATGAATCAAACAGCATAAGCGGATGTCTGTGCTTTATGAGTGCTTCTCTAGTTTTAGCTATGTTCACAGGTGAAAATTCTAGGTTCCGATTGTGCATCTGTCTACTAATTTATGACACCCGTTTCACCCAATTATTGTTTCAATAACACAGTTTGTTTTTGTAGCATGATTCAGAATTTCACCAGAAAGAAAGACCAAACCATCAAGAATTTAAATCCCTTTACAATTAAACTCTAATACAAGACTTTTTGAGCTCCTACATTTCCCTGAGTGTAAAGAGTGAGCCTACATTTTATTTTAATATTGTAAAACAGAAGACCCCATAAAGACTGAAGGCCCCAGTATGAGACTGCTGACATGAAGTATACAGTAGTTGTATATTGTTACGGTCTGCAGAATGAGACATGAGAGTCCATATTTTCTGCACGTACAATATGTGAAATACAGTGTGAAAGAAGTTTTGTATTGCTGTTGCTTTAGATATAATTTGGCAATGTGACAGAGAGATATAATTGTCATATATCTATTGTAATGTGCCGGTTGTTGTTATGTGTGTGCTGACTGTACTGGATAACTTAAGTGTCCACCAGGACTGTTCAATAAAAACGTACTGTCTCACCAGAACCAGCTGCCGTGGGTCATTGAGCAGAAGGCAAAACACATGGTCACACCCAACATGAGTCTGGTATGCTTGTGAATGATTGATGGGTGGCCAAATAGATTAGTCATGCTGACCAGTATTTTGGTCAGAATAATTTGAGCTATTTTCATGTTATAAGATATGACAGTTGAGCGTTCTCTTTGAGCCCCACTGGAGTGGAGCATGGTATCATCCTGGACGGTAAAAATATTTAATAGCACTGTTATTGTAAAAGCCTATGTCCTCATAATGCCTCTTGTGGTAATCAAGGCAGAAATTCTTTAACCATTGTTAGAACCTTACCCCCCTGGATCCTTCTTATCATTGAGATTTAATTTGAGCGCTCAAAGTCCATTGTTTAGTTGACACTGTTAATATTTAACAATAACTAATTAAGAGTGTGGTGGAAATTACTGTTATAAAGTAATAAAGTCTGACCACATTGTCAACTTTGTATTCTTCACAGCAGAGCTGTACAGTTGGTCATTTCCCCCTGGTGGTGAGACAAGGAAAGTGCTACAACTGTACCTCTGAAACAAAAGCATGGTCGTCTATCTTTAATCCTAATCTGCCTTTATTATTGGCTAATCCATGTTGTGCAAACTCGAGTGTGCATTTAAACATTCTCTACAGCCAGGGGGTTCTTAAACTGCGGGCCCTCATTACATGGTTACATCTTTTTCTTCAAAGTTTCTTTTGGTAAATGTTGATACTGTTCATTTCTGTATAACAGAGTGTGGTCAATAGCTCCACTCATGTAGACTATATAATAATAAAAAACAACTTACTCAGATAGGGCTTACATCTCCACACACTTGGTTGATGGCCTCCTTTAATGTTTCTTTGGTTTTAATTTTGCCATTAGGACATAACACTATATCCATGTTTCAATGTTCAGAAGTCTGTTTTTGCGTGGAATCATTCTGGCAACGTGCCTCACGAAAGTTACACAATGTGGCTTTAATCAATTTTAACCAGATGAGATCAGTACCACAAGTACAAGTAGTCTAGGTTTAGGGAAAACGTCCCTAAACCTAGACAAGTTTTTAGGCTTAGACGTTTTTCCACAGTATTTAAAGAAATTAATCTGGAAAAATCACTGACTGCATCTTTATACAAGGCTGTTAGTTTTTT